GAGGGCTACAAAGATGATTAGAGGGCTGGAGCACCTCTCCTATGAAGAAAGACTGCAAGAGCTGGGCCTGTTCAGCCTGTAGAAGAGAAGATTGAGAGGCGATCTCATAAATGTGTACAAGTATCTGAAGGGAGGGTGTCAAGAGGATGAGGCCAGTCTCTTCTCCGTGGTGCCCAGTGACAGGACAAGAGGCAATGAGCAGAAAGTGAACCACAGGAAGTTCCACGTAAACCTGAGAAAAAACTTCTCCACTGTGAGGGTGACAGAGCATTGGAACAGGTTGCCCAGAGAGGTAGTGGAGTCTCCTTCCCTGGAGATATTCAAAACCCGTCTGGATGTGATCCTGGGCAATATGCTCTAGAGGTCCCTGCTTGAGCAGGGAGGTTGGACTAGATGATCTCCAGAGGTCCCTTCCAACCTAAACGATTCTGTGATTCTGTGATTCTGTGTGATAGAACAAAACCCTTGAGCCTGAAACCCTGTTCTTTGTTGTATGGTGTCAGAGAAATTTATTTTTCTTTTTTTTGAGGAGATTTAATTAAAGGCAATGCCTTGTGATAGATGAGAAAGAAAAAGGAGAAAGGGAAGCCAGTCTGAGATTATATTCCCTCTCTAGATCTCATGATGTTTGCATTTAATGTTAGAACATTAAGGAGAAGTAGGGTGAAAGGAGTGAAACAGGTGAAAAGGGGAAAAAGAAGGGAAGGGAAGAGAAGGCAAGGCAAGACTTGATTCTTAGACCTTAGTGAGAGAGATTCATCCCAGTTCTCCTCAGATAATAAGGACTCATGCCCCAGAGTTGTGTCTGCACATGGAGTCTGGGAGAATACCTTAGATCTAAATTATTTGTTTTCACATGACTGAAGTCAGCCAGGGTGAACCGCATCAGAAATGAGTCTTCCATCTCCCTATGAATCCAAGGACCTTGATGGATCCATGGGACATTTTAACAAGGCAGAAAAGTAGCTATTTATTGTAGAGAGAAATAAGTAGTTTAGCATTAATGAGCACCAGCAGGGAGATGGACTTTAACCTAGGACACAGAAGAAAGAAACAAAAGAACCACAAGACTGATTCTGGAGGACAAGATAAGGAAGTAGAAGAGCCAGATAACTATGCAAGAAAGAAGTAACCACAAAGACTGGTTCAGAGGGACAAGATAAGGGAGTAAAAGAGCCATCGACAACTATGCAGAAGTGAGATAAGAAGTAAAGAACACATCTGGAAACTACGGAAAGGACCAGCTGGGAGCTGGAAGACCCTGAACTCTAATATTATGATTGGTTCAGAACTATGGGGTGGATACTAGACTGAAAGGGTATAATTACCCAGGGATTTGTTCAAACGAGGTCCCTCTTTGGAGGCACCCAGTTCGAACTGTAATTACTGCATGTGTGTCATTAAAATTTATTTCGCTCTGATTTTGCTTTGAACTTCTGTCTCAGCGGGAATCTAGAGTCGGGCCCTGTTATGGTGGCCGGTAAGCCTAATTTTCCATAATATTTATTCATAAATCAGGTTTTCAGGGTGCTAAAAGGAGTTTGCATGCCAGTAATCAGAACACTGTCTCATAAAGCTTTCAAGTATCCAAAGAGGAAGGTGATGAAAGGTGGGACAGTGAAGATGAGAGGATGATCTCCAAAAGATACCAATTCTTACTGCACAGGTGAAGGTTTTATAACTTCTGAAAGAGCCCTGTCTATTTTGCTTTTCCTGAACTTGCTGCTCTGTCACTTGGATTTCCAGCAGCTTACAAATCCAACTGAGGGCTCCCTCGCTCTGACAGATATCTGGCAATGATTCTCAGTCCCCTGCAAGCCCTCAAAGGGAAACAGAGCAATGCTTGTGCTGTCTGGGAAATTGAGCCTTCCCTTTGCATTTCCCACTTAGAGCATAAAGACTCCTTGCTCTTCATACTTGAAGGATGCGAGCCATTAGCAGGCAGCTCTGCATTAACAGGTTACTTCATACAAATAAGAGATCTAGTTGAAAGGGTTTTAGAAATCTCAGTTTGAAATGAGGAAAGAACCTTCTCTTCACACCAAAGAAAATTGAGAACTGCTGGTTGTGTTTCTCATGCTATCACTAACTCCCTTCCAGAAGTCGTCTTAAACTCTGATGCATCAAAGATGAGAACAGTTGGTTAGAAAATATGCGATAAAAGTATTCAGATTAGCCAAGTGAAAAACACAGGGTGATTTTCTCAAGAGAAGACTTGAATTCACAAGGACATGAGCTCTTATTAGGTTTTTGTTTGTTTTCCTGGCATTCTTGCCTATTTCTTTGAGGTTTATATTTGGAGTTCCCCCAGAGGTGCATTCAAAATCTCCAAGATAAAATTAGGGTTTGTATGAGGGAGAAGTGGCCATCATCTGTTTCCTAATCTACATATTTATGCATACGAATAAGTAAGAAAATGAGAGTTTGTTATTCACTGGTCCCATCTCTTCTTTAAAAGAAGCAGAAAACCTTTATATTTCAGGCACAGATCTGAGTTCTTCCACTTCAGTGTTCAGTTTCTCCCTCTTTTTGTTACCCTTTAATGCTTCCTTCTTTTTCTGCATTTACTTCTTGAGAGTCCACCATTTCATCTGTATCAGCTATAGTCTGCACTTCAAAGTTGAAACATTATATTGACAGAGGTGTTAGCATTCAGCAGAACACAGGGGCTCTTTATTTAACAATTTAAAAGTTAAAGATTGATGAAAATTTAGTAAAATTAATAATTACAAATTAACTGCCATTTCTTTTCACTTTGCCACTCCCTTTTTGCTGGTCTTTCTGCTCCTTTCAGTCTTGCAACCTTTTGGTCAAATTTGGAGATTGTTTTACGTCCAGAAGCCACACACCACCGTGCAGACACCCAGCCTCATAATCACTATCAAATGTCCGGGGGGAATTTCTGTGGGACCTGACACAGCAGTGCTGCTGTGAACCTGACCTTTGAGACATGCGCTCATCCACAGCATTGGCCATAATGGGATACTCCTTCCCAAAGTCTGTCAGAAGAAACCATAAATGCAGAGGTCCTGTTGAGATTTTTTTTCAAGGATTGATTTCCTACCAGCCACAATGATTCTCATGGGTTTCTGGCCTGCTTAGCCATCCCCAGGCAGTTGCACAAAGCATTTTTCCAGGCTTCTTTCATCTGCTCATTCCTTAGGCTGAATATGAAGGGATTTAAAAGAAAAGTCACAATGCTGGAGAGAACAGAGAGGATTTTTGCTGAGGTGCACAGAGTTCATCTGGGAAGACCTGATGTAGGCAAAGATTGAGATGCCAAAACCCAGGGAAACAACAGTGAAATGAGAAGTGCAAGTGGCAAATGTTTTCTTCCTGCCCTGGGCAGACGGGATCCAGAATATGGTTGAAATAATCCAAGCATAGGGGATGGCGGTCAAAGCCAAGGAGCGGGACCAAGGACACCACAAAATCATTCAGCTCAACAAGCCAGATGTTCATGCAAGTGAGGTGCAGGAGAGGTGCACGGTCACAAGTAGTGGTTGATGATGTTGAGACCACAGTATGGCAGCCTGGCTTTCAGGACCACTAACAGCAGGATCATGATCAAGCCACCTACCCACATGCCCAGGACAAGCCAACTGCATATCCTTTCCGTCATGATGGTGGGATACCTCAGGGGGTTGCATATTGCCACATACTGGTCATAGGACATGATGGCAAAGAGGATGAACTCCATTGCAGCCAGGAAGAAATAAAAGTAGAGTTGGCTAAAACAGCTGGCAAAGGAGATGGTTTTCTTCTCTGGCAGGATGTTTGCCAGCATTTTTGGCACCACAAAGGAAGTCATGGAAATCTCAATGAAGGACAAATTACTGAGGAAGTAATACATGGGAGAATGGAGATGGCAGTCTGCATAGATCAGAACAATGATAAGAGCATTTCCCAGGAGAGTCACTAAATAAACAAGCAGGAACACCACAAAGAAGATGATCTCCACTTCATGGCTGTTGGGAAATACCACCAGGACAAACTCTATCATAGCTGTGACATTCCCCATCCAAATGTGTTCTCTGTCATGGCAAGAGTAAGAGAGCAACATAGTCTCTTTGAATATTCAATTCATTCATTTCAAAGGAAGATCTTTCCTCATCACTCAGATCGCCATTCCTCCTCATTCAGCAGTCACAAATATTTGTTATAGCTCTTTGCTTAAAAAAGAAATGGAATATGCAGGTCTTTGCTGCCAAACTCCTTCAATGTCTCTATTACCATCAGTCAAAATTGCCATCAAATCACAACATATGATGGGTTAGTTTCATCCTACATTTCCTACTTCTGCATTTCCAAGTAAGTCATGCATACAAAAATTTACATTTGCAAGGGAAATACCTTTGCTGTTATGTCTATGCTTTTGCATTTACCTTCTGCACAAAGGACATCCCATGCATTTATTTTTGGTAGCTTGGTGAAGATAGTTGTGTCCAAGTTCCTGATGAGAGCTTCAATTCCAGTAATGGAGAGGCAAATTGTGGAGAGACAAAGAGAGCGAAAGTGGATCCTGCATTCCCAGTTTATATAGTAACATCAGAGGAACTCACTTTCTAGCTGAGTTACTGCATAGCCCACAGCAGGACAAATACAAAGGCACAAACATATGATACAGTGAGTGACAGGACTCAAAGTATTAGAATAAAAAGAAGTTTTTCACTCCTCCTGATGGTAAAACCATGGCTGTCCTGCAGGCTCTGATAAGCTGAACTCCATGTCCTGAGAACTGAGCAATGCTTTCTGTAGTCTGTGTAAGCCTTGGCTGCTGATAGCTATGGGAATGAGCCTAGTCATCACAAGAAAACCTAAGTAATTTATAAATTTGTGAAAGAGGTCCAGAAAGTAATGTTCAGGTGATGGCAGATTTTTTTTTTTTTAATGAAGACAGCACATTTCACAGTGGGCCAATTATACTTGATAGACTGAGAAATGACAAAGAGAAAAATAATTGGCTCCCTTATAAGCTTTTGCACCTTGAAAGCTGGCAATTTCTGGCTCGGGATTCAGGCAAATAAGTCTCACCTAAAGTTTACAAGAGTAGAGAACCTTATCATTTTGAAACTTTCTTCTTCCTCCTCCAAGTCCTGATGCCCTCATGACATCCTGAAGAACAAGAGCATTGCCCAATGAATCAGATCAAAGATGGCCCTTCCAGGGTCCTGTGTCTCAGAGAGACCACAACAATGGGGAGAATCAACTCACCTAATCCGAGATGCTCTGCAGTGTGAATGTCTACTTATGAGCGAACAACAAAGTGTCCCACTATGGGGATTTCCAGGGTCCAGTTCATCTGCTTGGGTTAGGCTGGAGCTAGTTGAGGACTAGGCATGTTGGTGCTTTTCTGGACGGGTGGATTCACTGAAGAGGCTCTCCCCCCTTTCAGATGGGTCACATTCACCCTGGATAACATTTCAGGAAGATATCCTTGAGGGCTTATGATGGTCTCCTGGGCAGTCCTGTTGTGCTCTTACACAAAAATAAAATAATTTTTTGTGGGTTTTTTTGGAGAGGGAGTTGTTTTGTTTTGCTACCCTCATAAATAAGAAAAGGGCTCTTGCCAAGTGATGTTGAGGCTAAGGCTGTGTGCTCTAGCTTGCTGCGTGATAGCCTACAGGGATATTTGAGAGTGTGGGTCTGTTGGGACAGTCTTGCAGGACTATCCTATGTGAAGAAAGCCAAGAAAACTAGAGGGGACCTTGGGATAAACTTACCTGGCAATGTGTTCATGCTTTCCCTCAGAGGGGTAAAGTTGTCCTGCTCCAAAAAGAGGCTTGGAGAAGGGCAGTGGCCAGCACATCAAGGGAAGTTGCTACTGCCTCATACTCACAGATGACAAGGCCATATTTTGAATACTGATTCTAGTTTTGGGCCCTTCAGACCAGGAGGGATATGGGAAACTTTGAAGGATCCAGCAGGAAATGGTAAGGGGGCCAACTGCAAAGATCCCATGAAGAAATGCTGACTTGGACTTGTTTAGTCTGGCAAAGAAGAGACTAAGAAACACTCTTACAGCCACCTACAAGTACCTGAAGGACAGTTACAACGACAACAAAGGCAAAGCCTTCTTGGTAGGGGTTGACACTACAACAAGGGGCAATGACCACAAGCTGCAGCTTGGGAGGCTCAGGATGGACACGAAGCAAAAATTGTCTTGGCTAAGCAGGAAAGCCATGGCAGAGCTCCAATGCAGACAGGCAGCACACAGGAGGTGGAAGCAGGGACAGGCTACAGAGGAGCCATTGAGAAACATTGCCCTGGCATATAGGAATGGTGTCAGGAAAGTCAAAGCTCAGCTGGAGTGGAGGCTAGCAAGGGATGTCAAAGGCACTGAGAAGAGCATTGGAGGCTGAGCAAAGAAAATGTGAGCCCATTACTGAATGGGGTGGGTGACAGTGACAGCAGACACAGAGAAGGCTGAGGTACTCCTCTGCCTTCTTTGCCTCAGTCTGCTCCAGGAGGGTCTTCCAGGCCTTGTTGATCGGTGAAAAGTTTCAAGAAGGTGACGAATGAGCAGCAGGGTTTGAGGGTTAAGTCAAGGATAACTGTAGAGAACTCCACACGCTCAGGTCCATAGGACCAAATGGGCTGCATCAGAGGGTGCTAAGAGAACTGCCTGATGCCCTTGCAAGGCATCTATGTCTATTGTCTTTATAATGCTTGGAGATTAGGGGAGAACTGTGATGAATGGAGGAAAGCAAATTTTGTACCCATCTTCAAAAAAGACCATAAGGATGACTGGCCTGTAGTTCCCCAGATCAACTTCATTGCAGTGACTGGGAAAAATCTTGGAGTGAGTCCTCTTGGAAGACATTTCTGGGCAAATGAAGGAGAAGAAGGTGACTGGGAACAGTCAGCATGGATTTGCCAAGGACAAGTCCTGCCTGCCTGACCTGACTGCCTTCCTGCCTGCCTGACCTAATTGTCTTCCGTGACACAAAGATTGGATTTGTGGAAGAGGGAGAGCACTGGAAGTCATTTGCCTTGACTTTAGCAAGGCATTTGACATGATCTCCAACAATAGTCTTTTATTCAAGTTAGGATGTTATGGTCTGGATGGCTGGATAACCAGATGTGTTGAAAAAAGAACAACGCAATGAACAGCTCAGAGAATAGTGGTTAATGGGTCATAATCAACCAGGAAGACTATGACAATGGCATACCTCAGGGATGTATTCTGGGACATGTGCTTTTTATCATCTTTAGCAATGACCTTTATCAATGGGAGAGGTGACAGTGCTTGCTCAAGTTGGCAGATGACATTAGATGGAAAGGACCAGTAGATATGCTTAAGGGCATGACTGCTATCAAGAGGGACTTTGACAGGCTGGAGGAATGGGCCAGCAGGAGCCACATGAGATTCAATAGGGACAAATGCAAAGTCTTGCCTCTGGAAGGAAGAGCACCTTGCTATGATCCACTCTGCGGACAACTGGCTGGGAGCAGCTCTTTGGGAAAGGCCCTATGGAAGGTCCTGATGGACCTAAACTGAACATGAACCAGAAGTGTGCCCTGGCAGAAAGGAAGGTCAACAGCATCCTGGGCTGTATTAAGGGAAGCACAATCAGTAGACTAAGGAAGTGATCACCCCTCTCTACCTGGCACTCATTAGACCACATCTGGAATACTGCCTCCAGTTTTGAGGAACCCCCCCCCCCAATCCAGGAAAGACATGGAGAAACAGGGTGGAGTTCAGTGGAGGGCCACCGAGGTGGTCAGGGAATTTGGAGCCCTTGCCCCACGAGGAGAGGCTGAGGGAATGGGGCTTGTTCAGCATGGAGAAGGGAAGATTTCAGGGGAACCTCATAGCACCTTCCAATACCTACAGGGATGTTTTTGAGAGGACAGAGGCAGGTTCTTCACAGTGGTGCATGGTGGGAGGAGGAATGGCAATGGACATAAATTGAAACAAGAGAGCTCTGAAGAGGTTGCCCAAAGAGGTTGTGCAGTCTTCAGCCTTCATAAAGACAAGACTTGGTGAAGCCCTTGAGCAACCTCGCCTTATCTTTGAACAGGAGGTCAGATGATTAGAGCTGTTCTGAGGTCCCTTCAGTTGGGTTATGTGATGAAAGGCTCATCTCCACACACGCAAAGGAGCACAGAGGAACAATCAGAGGTGGGGGAGCCTGAATAAGCTAAGCAGAGAAACAAGCACCCTCACCTGGGTCTTCCCAGGGCTGTCACAGGAGAGTAGCCAATCTCATTTTCCAGGTATGAAATCAACCTATGAGTCAACAGAAAGGCTCTCTGGAGCACCTTACAGATTGAGCGGGGGTTTGCTATGTATGGCGGTATGGGACACATTATGGGATGCAGGGAAGAGCATTATGGGATTGCACAAGACTTATTATGGGATGTTTAGTGGAGAAACCAAAGGTGAGGAAAGGGATTGATCAAGGTGGTTTGGGGAGGAACGAGTGTTGGAAAACAGAAGGAAAAGAGGACTGTTCAGGGATGTTATATGGCTGCCGCCTCCAGAAGGCTCCAGGACCCAGGGATTCCTCCTGCCCAGCCTCTGGAGCCCCGCCTGGTATGCCTGGGGA